TTTGATCTGGAGTTGGCTGGCAAATACAGCGGTATCCTCCGGCTCGTACGTGCAGGGTCCACAATGCCCTTCCGCAAGAAGCGCCGGTAGTATGGACTCAAGCGCTGGTAAAGGTACGTCTGGATCATAATATCGAGAAGTCGTCCAGGCGGTTCTTATTCGCAGCAGCAAAGGAAGGTACGCTGTGTCGATGTCTTCTTCCGACGTTGAGATTCTGTGGTCAACTTCTACGTCTACAGTAGCAACGACCCGACCATGTACCCACAGAGTACGCTCGTCGCATTTACCGTTCCATGAATACATTTCAGTTTGTGCGTTGGAGCTACGTAGCGCATGTAACGGCAAGAAAGGCACGACGAGACGGTGTGCGGTAAAGTTGGGAACCCAAGAGGGTATAGTCTTCGTTGTGGATGATCGTGGCAGAGTCTCGAAGATATCCAGGCTTTTGGTACCCTCGATGATGGAGCGTGCGGTTGCGACCAGGGCGGCCTGCAAAGAAGTCTCATAGGACGGTTTCAGACAAATCCGGTCATCTTGATTCATTCCAAAGAAAGCATAGAGTTGATCATGAACGCTGGAAGTCTTTGCTTCGGCACTCAACGTAGACAGCACCTGGTCTAATGGAATCGGAGATTTGTTTGATGGCTTATGTCTCTCTGCCCACCGATCATGCATCTCTTTCAATACCCCATAACCGGACGGCGTAGACAGGTTGGGCGTTTCCAACTTCCATGCAGTCTTACACAGTTCCCAGAGAGTGGGGAGTACAACCGTTACCCTATTGAAGGGTGGGGTCATGGAGTCTTGTAGGATGAATGTCGACTTTCGTGGCAGAACCACTTCTTGAAATACCCAAGCTCGAGAGAACCACGGGCTCTTCAGGATATTACCGCACAACCCCAAAAGGTCCTTTTGTTTACGCTTGCAATCGACCATATCACTGATAGTATGGTCGGCGTGCTGTTTACTCCAACTGACCCACATGTAGTAGCTCGAGGGTGCATAGTCGAGAGGAACTGAGACTACACTGTCCAACGACGAGCATTGGGCCGCGATGCCGGATTTCAGTCCTTGAACCAGTCCCAGCCACACTAGAACGCGTGAGCAGTTAGAATATATGCTGCCCATGATTGAGACTTGTTGCGCTCTTTCGGACAAATCGTCTTGATTGATGCATATTTGATCGACCCAAAGGTAGCCTGTGGAGCAGGTCATAGCGATGTACGGCAAGGCTTGCTTTAGGCTTTTTGTGATCCGAAGTAACGTGCCGTCCGACAATTCAAGCGCTTCTTTACGGCTAGGAGTACCCCAGACGTACGACAACGCCTCGTACTCTGGAGCATGCTTGGTATTGGTGTTTGACAGCGAGAACTGCCACTGTATTGTACTGTCATGTACCTTCGATGATACAATTTGTAAGAGCCGTATGCTGTGCGCTGTCTACAAGGACTCGTAACGGTAGGCTTCTTTGTCAGAGTGATGTGGGTGCTTCGGCATAGCTGTGCCTTCGTGACAAATGCCAGCTTTGGATCAGCGACAGTGATGCTGCGAGAGGGTTATGAGCAGATCGAGAAGAGACGAAAGTGATTGGCGATGGGAAGAGCTAATGTTCTCAAGGATACGATGCTTTCAGAAGCTTCGAGAGCGATGGTGACGACCTCGCTGTAGCGAGGCGCGTAGCATGTGCCAAGGCAATGACAACCTTGCACCGCGGCATCGCTTCTGCGAGGCTGAGGTGGGGCAGTGTTCAATGGGCGCGCGACAAGTAGATAGCTGCAAATATCACGTATTTCGAATCAGCGCTGCGCATTTCGAACATCGCGACCATTAGAGGTGTGGCCCTGCGGTCAGTGAACCTAGAGTGAGTATTTGCTTAGAGCCTGCTGGCGAATGTGAGCTATTGTGCTAGTGTCGTGTTCCACAACCAGTGGATGTTATTGCGCGTTTCGTGAATATTTGAATTGCATTACAAGATTCGCTAGTCGTCAAATTATGTGTACGTACAGGGTATCGCTTTTGATCGTAAAAGGACTAAGATGCCGGACTCGGACTGCTGCGAGCTGGCGAAAGGAAATTCGAAGAAAGCGCAATCCGATACTTGGGGATGCGGTCAGGAGTAGGAGTAGAGGTCTTCTTGACGCCAATCACAGGTGGATCAGCGATCTCTGCCTTTGCACTGTCGGGGGTGATCTTCGTCGGTGTGCTCTCCGTCTCGATCGTGGAGTCTTTTCTGCGCTGTTGCGGTGTCGGGGTGTCTGGCGTCAACGGCGGGCTGTCTTTCGAGGCCTGCGGTGTAACGCGCTCGCCATTTGTCCCACCCTCTAGAACAAGATTCAGATTCGCTGGCGTGCTCGCTGTAGATGACGCAGCAACGAGGTCATCAGAAGAGCGTTTCGTCTGCGAGAAGGATGGCGACGTGATGATGTGAGCGTGTGGGAAGCCAAAGCCCTCGAGCTTAGCTACCATTGCTTGGTTGTATTCTTGCAGATTGTTGGTCTCGGTGGCCGTTGTGGAGGGGATGCTGAAATCGTCATGGGTCTCATGAATGGTAGTTATTCGCGAATTGCCATTCGCGACAGCTTCGTGCGACACTGTCGGGCCCTTCCATTCGGGATGGGGTATGCGCCCGATGACATTCAACCTTCCTGTCCCAAGTTTCGCCCATTCCCAGATGCCTCGACGAGTCGGTGATCGCTGTGGTGGCTGCACCGGTCCTCCCTCTAGCTCCCTCAATGCTTGGTCTTCAAGCTGGCTATTCTGGGGTGGGTGAGACGCGTCGTCTGAGCTTCGGCGGCGCTCTTCTAGGACTGGGCGTGACCTCTGTATCTCCGTTCCACTGCTTTGAGCCCGCTCCAGGCGTCTTCTCTCCGGTGGCGTCACTTTGCGCAGCTTTTCCCTGTCCTTCTCCCTCTCGCGAATCGCGTCGAGATTGGGTGCTTGACTGGCGACTGCCATCTCGGTCGATGTGCCAACCGTCGAGCTCGCCGGACTTGTCAGGCGACGGCGGAGAGGACCGGCGCTTCCTTCTTGTGGGCGAGCTTGCAGGGGATGAGGCGGGCGAGGCGTCTTCGGGGGAGGAGGGCGGGGAGGGCGGTTGTGCTGGTCGGAGCTTATGTAGGGGACTGGTTTGGCGGATGACAGGCCGGCTTTCTTCTTTGCTGGTTAATGGACGTTATTACGCGTTTTTGACAGCAGTGATATGGCTGATAGGGTGCTGAGAGTGGGCTTGGGAGAGGGCGGAGTCACACACCTTGCTTCCCTTTGCCCTTGCCCTTTGTGTGGCAGTTCGGGCCAGCTTCGTGGTCATGGTATTCGCACTCATGACCCTCATCCGTTGGATCGTCGAACAACATGCCGCCAGTGCCTGACCTGATTGCCTTGACCAAATCGATGGCGAAGTCGGGGTTGTTTTCGAAGCACTCGCGATAAGTCTCGACGTCGCGCTCACTACCAGGATCCATAATCTGGCGGGCCGCGATGCGCGTCATGAGCGTGCGGAAGGGCGACCCTGTCGGACTCTTGCGATAGATGTCATCAATCTCGTCAGCGTCAGGTACTAGCTCGGCCTCATTTAGGCCTTTCCTGTACTGATCCATCGCGACGTTCTTCAGTTGAAGCATGTCAAAGCGATCGCACAGCAGATAGAGTCTGTGACAGCTCACAGCATACTCATACTTCTGGTTGGCGTCGGCCATATCAGAGACATCGTCGAGGCTGCCCTGGTACAGCCACTTGACCAGCAGCTCGAAGCCAGCCGGGTTGTGATCGGGAAGATCGAGGCGATCTTTCCTAGTGTGGCCGTCGGCATCGCCTAGCAGCTCGTTCTCGAGGGTTTCGGAGTGGTGGCATAGCAGATTGCGATGCAGCGACCAGTGGCGCTTGGACTCGCCTACGTAGATGTCGATCATAGGGCCGGAGAGAAGTCTATCGCGTTGCAGCTTAGCTTTGGCCCGCACATGGAGGCGATGAGAGTAGAGACGGTGGGTGAGAGCCGGGCGCACCGCGATGCATCGCGACGGCGCTTCGGGTCTTTGCGCCAGCGCCAATTGCGGTGCATCGGCAGGCGGCGCATTCTCCATGAAGTCATCCTCCTTTTCCAGCGATGTCTGCGACTGCGATGCACCCGCCTCGTCACCGTGGTCGAAGAAAGGATCGTCTACGTACTCAGCAAAAGTCGCGGCAGGCACGTCGCCAATGCTGCCAGAAGCCATCCGTGACCGTTTGGAACCCGGTATGGCGAAATCACGATGGTATTGTCGCAGAGTCTGCCACATGCAGCGCGGAGATAGCGCTCATGGATGCGCGATGGCTTATATGGGGGATAGTACGTGTCGCGATGCGGTTAGGGCTGTGAGGTGTCGTGGTGAGGTGTACCGTCCGTGTAGACGTGCTGGAGTGGAGACATCAAGGATGGCTGGGTGGCTCCTGCCCTGACGTCGTTGGCCCGCCCGGGGTAGCTTCCGCGCATTGTCTAGGCCCAGATCATCGCCGTCACTTCGGACCTGCATTTAACAATCACCAACCCGAGATCTGGAATCTGCTTCCTCAACACCGCATCATGGTAACATCAAGTCTTGTTATTGCGCACGATGGCTGTGCGGAAGCTCATTTTGCGTACTCTCGACATCGCCGCGCTAAGCACATGTGACGTTGCCTTTTTACCATAGCTCCCTATGCTAAAGCGGGCTCGTTAAACAGGGGATGCCCTCCTTGCCGCAGAACCGCTGTTTCCGGCGACGGCAAAGTTCTGCTAATCTGAGCCTGCAATTTGGCTTTTACATATCGGTAAACAATCCGGAGAGTACATATACAAATCGACCCATTGGTACCCTCGGCACAGACGCCACAGCCCCTCATCTTCTGCAAGACAGACCCGTGGTTCATCGCTCCAAGTTCCAAACATCAACATTATCTATTCCTTAGCAATCCACAGATATCTCAATTTCTAACTCGACTTTTCTGCCCCACCAACGTACACGTCAATCGCATCCTATCACACCATGCCACCCATGATCAGAGACAAAACATCGTTCGACGCGATCGTCGACCCTACCTCTTCTCAGAACACCCTTTCACTCAAGCGAATCTGGAGGAAAGCCATGCCACGCGCAAATCCTTCGGCGAAGCGGTCGCCTGATGGGATTTCCAAAAAGCGAAAGCTTGCATTGTACTTGTTGCCGCGGCCTCCGATCAAGTATCTCGTCACGGACCTTGTCACCGACCCCAGGAACAGGATAGCGAAGTAACTCCAATACTGTTAAGGTCGGCTCGCGATCTTCGAAGGATCATCTGAGCCAATGAGAGACACACTGCACATGCCAAGAACAGCAGCCGAGACTGCTGCCTGTTCATGTCTTCTCACATCACAACCACATGCGCTCTATTCCAACCCGACGACATCGAACTCAATGGCCAGTTTGCAGTCATTAGAGCCCTCGTTTGGCTGGGAACCTTCTGATCATTTCCTTCTAGTACGTCGGATTGCACTATACGCGTTCTAGTCAACACAGCGAGCGCGACCAAGCTCTATCGGATGCGGCTGATCTAGAGCAAAAGGAGAAATGGGATCCAGATTCATCTCTACACCAAGACGAGCAAGAACGGAACCTTATCAAAGCCTGGATCCACCTCGGTGAGCGTGGCCGTTCGGTAGGATCTAGCTATCCCATTTCGTGGTTACGTCGAAGTCCAATCACTGACGCGCGTCTTAATCAGCTTTACCACGAGCGATGCGACGATATAGCTCTTCCTCGACACATCCCTTCAACTCTGTCGGTCTTCGAGAAGCGCCGCAAAGTGACAGATTCAGGCGAGTGGAATCGTGCTGCTGGTGCTATATGGATCCGTACATGGTATGGCAATGAAGCATATCTGGGGGACGGATCAGGCGAAGACATTGTCACTCGTGCAAGTGCCGACGAGGCATATCTTCGACTGTGGCGGAAAGCTCTGCATCCTTATCCGTACCATTACCGATTCGATGCGGATATGTTTGGGCCTTTCATCTTCGACGACAACAATACCGCGTATGGAGTGGCGGCACGAGACGCAGACGATGAAGTGGAGCTGATGGATGATATACCCTCTTTCATCTTAAGCGCCCTAATGCGATGCCCTGACGCAATGGAAGGAAGTAGTGAGCAAAAGATGATGGAAGAGGACGATCACACAGAATTGGCACAAAGCTTACTTGTCGTGGTTGCAGACCGCGAGGCATGCGAAGAGGGATGGGTACTGCTGATTGCCCTGAACCATAGAGGGCAGGCGTTGCACTTGCGTGTACGGTGCAAGGCTTACCTGGTTTGGGAGCAGGTCAATCATTTCAGAGATGGAGGCGAGCCGTTGGATATTACGGAGAGCAAAGAGAATCTCATGGACTACCTGGATGGCAATCGATCAGGTGATGGATGGGATGAGGATGAACCCCAGAATTAGCCAATACACACACCGGAGCTTCGAGCTCGTCTTTTGCGCTTACTGGCCGCCAGATACTATGCACTTTTACTCTATATTGAGATGAAGAAGGAGCGCCCTTGATGAAACTGTGGAGGGCAGACTCAGTGGCTGCGGGGCAGCAGAGGACGGAATGTGGACAGGGAGGATGTTGGTGGCCGTGCTTCAGCTACGTCAGACTTGTTACCCGTGGATATGGATTACTACCCCACTACTACGCTGTCACTGGTGACTGTAGTCTAGTATATCATTATACAGCAGCGCTTTTACGTCCTCGATCAACCTGATCATCAGACTCGGTGCCCTTCTTCTAGCAGGCGGCCTTGGGAAACTGGTGCCACCATGCTCACGCCTCTTTCTAACCAAGCTAAGGAAGCACTACCCACAGATTCCCCAAACAGGACAGAAGTTGTTTGGATACCTAAGCCAACGACACAGACAGCGGGTCAAGCTATCGAAGTGGACGAAGCCGTTCTTGGGGGTGAGCCCGCTCTTGAACGCAGTTTAATGCGGCGTTCAGGCTAACCATTCAAAAGCTCTACCCCACGGATGCAGGGAAATCGCAGCAAGACTACATGGCGCCAGTTTCTGGACACAGACCGCGCGTATTGATGTCCAACTAGCCGATGGGACTCCGCAAGCATATTTTCTCAAGACCGCCAGTGGCGAACTTGGCATGAGCATGCTGAGAGGAGAGTACTATGGATGCAAAACATTGCATGCATATACACCTGGCAAGTATTCTCGCCTACCCGATATCAGAAAGAAGCTGACTTTGTACACCACTTAGAAGAAATACCTCGCCCCATCGATTGGGGAACATACAAGTCAGATCCCAACAAACACTTCTACCTAGCCGAGTTCATGGAGATGACCGCAGACCTCCCTGATATCCGCGCATTCTCTGCCATGCTGGCTAAACTGCATCACGACAGCATGACAGACCCAAAATCGCCCAAGAAATTTGGATACGAGGTTATGACGCACTAAGGCAGCATGTACCAGGACACAACGTGGAGCAAAACATGGGAAGAACTGTACAGCCGGCGCTTTCAGTCATTCGTCGACCAAGAGTTAGCATCGCAGGGCCCGAGCGAAGAGATCGAGAAGCTGATGCTTGGTCTGAAAGACAAGGTCATTCCGCGACTGCTTCGGCCTCTAGGAACGCACGGTCGCAAACTGAGACCGGTTGCGCTCCATGGAGATATCTGGTGCGGTAATATAGGTACCAATGCGGTTACTGGTGAGCCGGTGTACTTTGACCCGGCTGTGTTTTGGGGGCATAATGAGTGTAAGTGACAGTGTAATAGAACACTTGGATCGAGGCTGATGTGGTGATTTCGTTTGTAAAGACGACATCGGTAGCATGGCCACTCCTCGTTACAAGCTCGGTCGAGAGTGGATGCAGGAGTATCACAAGTTCTTCCCTATATCAGCACCAGAGTGCGATTATGAAGACCGAAACGTGCTCTATGCGATGTAAGTTAGGTTTCTGTGGCTCATCTTTTTACTGCTGACTCTGCGAAGAAGCGGACACTTTTGCGCTTCCGCGTTATATCCTGAGAAGAGCGACTTTCGCAGAATGTACGCTAAGGGGTTCCTAGTAATGCAAATTCACTGACGTATACTAGGGCTATTGCGGATATGCAGCGACTCCTGCATAAGTATCCAGATGGGTATCAGGGAGAGTGAGGAATTTGTACCGGAGTATCCAAATTCACCATGTATCTCTTCTACTTCACCGTCAATTCGATTTTGACGAGTACAGACTTTCTTGCGTTTTTAATCACTCTTGGCTTGTACATTGACGTCTTGTTGTGAGCTGGCAAAAAGAATTACGAAAGTGCGCCTGTCTGAACAGGGACTGCTCATGGAGAACGGACGCCGAAATTGAAGTCGCATGATCCAAAGCCCTGCCGCATGCTAAACATCTAGCGAAAGTTCGTCCGCTTACCTATGCTGTGGTGTTGCTTGGCATGTGATTTGAAATCCGAGCCTTGGCCCTCGTCTGTAAGTACCTCGACTGCTGCTCAGCAAGCGTGTGGTTTATGTGTTTTCGCGACTTCCCTTAGACGATAATTAGCGTACATCTTACCTAGATAAGACTTGTACGCTGTACTAGCAGTCGCAACCGCGAACACCTCAACACGGAAAGTTGATCACCACAACTCTAACCTGACTCTTCTCCGGTCCTCTACCCTCGCCATGTCTTCACAAACACCTCACGAGATTGTGATTGTCGGCGGCAACTTTGGCGGCGTCAATGTCGCTCACTATCTTTTGCGCAATACCCTCCCGGCCCTCAAGAAAGCCCAGGCAGAATTCACCTATCACATAACCCTGGTCACACCAAATACGCACTTCTTCTTCAAAGTCGCGTCCCCACGCGCCATCGTGAACCAAACTCAAGCTTCACACGACAAGATTTTCAAGTCGCTCGCCGCAGCATTCGAGCAGTACGAGCATGGCGTCTTCACCCTTGTCCAAGGCAAAGCCACCGCCGTGAGGGAATCCGAGAAAAGCGTGGCGGTGCAGACTGACGACGCAACAAAAGACGTCAAATACGACTCGCTCATCATCGCATCTGGGACAACATCCGCCTCCCCTATCTGGACCCTCCACGATGACCACAAGAAAAGTGAGGCAGCCATCACTGCCCTGCACGCCTCTCTCGCGACCGCGACAACTGTCTTGATCGCCGGTGCAGGCCCCGTGGGCGTCGAGACAGCCGGCGAAATCGCCGTCGCACACCCGAAGACTGAAATCACCATCCTCGCACCCGGCACAAGTCTGCTCCTCAGTCTTCCACCCGCGATGGGCACCAAAGCGCAAAAAGCCCTCGAGAAACTGGGCGTCAACATCCGACCCAACACGCGCCTTGAGACAGAAACGAACGGCGTCGTGAAGCTAAGTGATGGCTCCACTGAATCACCAGACGTCTTCATCAACGCCACCGGCCCGCGCATCATCAACACGTCCTGGCTCCCCGAGACCTGGCTCGACGGCAAATCACACGTCGCGACGCGCGACGCCTACTTCCGCGTCTCGAATGCCTCAAACGTATACGTGATCGGCGACGTCGTGTCCGGGAGCCACAAAACGGCCATTGAACTCGACGCCATGACGCCCACCGTTGCATCTAGCGTTGGCGTCGACATTGCCAAGGGCCTCGGAATTACTGAGCCACAGCCTGGGTTTCTGGGTGCCTTGAATCCGTTCGCGGCGGCCTCGCCTCTAAGCCAGAAGGAATACAAGCCGATGAAAGACACGATTGTCATTCCGGTGGGCCCGGGAGGTGGAGTGGGACAGGTTATGGGCTTTGCGATGCCGAGTTTTGTGGTGAAGAAGGGGAAGGCGGAGAACTTTTTGATGGAGTTGATTGAGCCGAGTGTGAGTGGGGAGAAGTGGAAAGGAAAATGATCTTCTTGACAAGTATCCAGATGGGTACCAAGGGGAGTAGTATTTGATACTCTATTCCTAGTGGCAATTTACAAAATTGTATCTTCAACGGCGTTGACTGCCCCACCGTGACAAGCACGCCCTGAACATTATTTGTATATCTTGGGTTGCGCGTACAGGCCATGAATCCTCAACAGAGGTGAAAGGTCCGGATATCGACACCCCTATACTTCAGAGCCTTGGGAGACAATCGCGGATCAAATTCGGGAAGAGCAGTCTGGTCACGCCACTCAAACTCCGCCGATAATGGTCCTAGACGTGGGTCATCCATAACTGCGTCATCCGAGTCTTTCTTGAAGTTTTGAAACATGATGCCTTGATGGCTGCGATAGGCTTGTGCTCGCCAGCCACATGGAAGTCGCCCAAGGATTGCTTCGCCGTTCATTAGACCATGTACATAAGCCTCTCCAATAATTGCATGGTGGCCATTCGCCTTGGGGCGGAGGACCACTGGTGCGTCAAAGCCTAACAATATCGCAATGATGTCGCCTTTCGCTGTTAGTTGGGTCTTCAAGTGTTTTCCAGTGAACGCATCTTACCTTTTGCTATCGATTGGGAGCCGAATCCGATGTAATCCTGGCTCTTGAAGAAGCGTCGCCCATGGGTGAAGTCCTGTACACTACTCTGAAAAGCGTCGAAGCCAGTTTCCGTTCTTCTCAGTCCTCCCCCATCTGCTGACTCCAGGGTTCTTCTGCACTGCGATACGGTCGGCCAATAGATGTGGGATGGGTACATTTCACGAACGCGGTTTCCGCATAGAGTAGCGACGAAAGCATCAAGCTGGACATTGCTCGACTCGTCAAATTTCTCGTCAAACCGTATCACCTCTTTCGAAATGCGCCTCCAATATTCCCACGTTCCATGCCCTTCTCGTTGTTCTGATTCCTCTACCCATGAGATCGCGCCGCAGTGCACCCCAACGACTTCAAGAATCTTGTCGTCGATGATTCGTGCACCTCCAGCACAGCTTTGACCCGAGGCGAAACGGCTGAAGGTCATTGGTTCTCGCGGCAGTGCTTTCGACCAGTCCGGCACCCACGATGGCCCGTTGCAGCCACCTTTTGGCATATCGCAGAATTCGAGGAAGCTTAGCCTATCATATGCCTCAAGCCAGGTTTGACAGGCTCTCTGGTATGTCGCCGCTGGAGTGATGTTGTAATCCGGGTTCACCAGCATGGAGAAGCGCGGCTCTAAAAGCCCCAGAACGGCATAGATCCTGTCGCGACTGTCAAAGCACTGAGCGCGTCGCGTCGCCCAGAGCATCTTTAGCGAAGGCGTGCTTCTGTTATAGAAGACCAGGTTGCTGACTTTAGCAAGTAACGGTAGAGGTAGAAGGGCGTTGAGGTTCTGTTTAACGTCCAGAGCGAGAACCGCTCGGCGAAAGTGATACCAGGAGATTGAATCGCGCCCGCAATACAGTCGAGCTGATTCATTCGCTAACTGAACCTCTTGTGTAATCCAAAGCCTTGAGAACCATGGTCGCTCGAGTAGAAGCCGAATAGCAGTAGCTTCCTGGTCTGCGAGCGGTATCTCCACATCGGGGCGAAACCATCCCTTCTCTTTGGCGGACGGGGCTTCGAGATAGCTTTGATCCTTAGAATACTCGACCTGAGCTCCAATGTAGCCAAGCATTTCCATAGCTCGCCCGCTGTCCTCCTCTTTTGACTCAGGGCCCAACCAGACGTTCACTTGCTTCGCGAACCGATAAATCTGATCCATGCGCTTCACTTGTCTTCCCCGCTCTTGGAGATTACTTTGGTCGATACAGATTGCGTCTATCCAGAGCACCCTTTCCCTATCGGTGTAGCGGAGGTGTTGCAGCGCCGTTGCAAGGTTCGGACGAACTAGAAGGTCTCCGGTTGTTCCAAGGGCGACATCGACAATGTGTATCGGCGTGGTCTCGGTGTCGTTCCCCCATGTGTAGGACAGTGCTTCGAAGGCATACTCCAGGTTGACGTTGTTCCGGCTGCGAGTGTACGTGCCTCTCGGGACGCTATCATCTGGGTGAGTCCAAGAACAGCAGTCGTGGACAGTATTTTCAAACAGGTAATGGCCCTCTAGAGTTTCGTATACTGTCCAGCCGGGAGGCAAAGTTTCCAGTACTTGTGTCAAAGCGCTTGGCATCGGACCAATCTTCAGGCTGTCGCACAAAGGAACGTGCTGTATGTGAAGTTCGATGCCCTCTCCCCGAGACGCAGGCTGCAGTCTGAGCAGGCGCAGCTCTCCTTTGGTCTCATCGAGTGGCCGATACTGATATGGGCCCATGATAGATGCCTCAATGATGAATCGCGTTGACTTGCGGGGTTGTCGGCATGGGCGAGGGCAAGAGACTGATAAGTACCGCAGTAGCGCAGCCTTGTGAGTACGGTCGGCGCATGGCTGAGTGGCGTTATAAGGCTGCCAATGAGTAGTAGATGTATGTCTCTTCGGATGATGGACTTGACGGCACACTGACCAGTCATACACGATATACATACACCACCGAAGTACCGGCCCCCAACATCAAACGCCTCACCATGCAGGCGAGCCACGTGACGCTGCTGCCTGAAAATACTGCGTTATACGCTATATTCATAGTGAAAAGCGCTCGGAGGTGTGTGGAAAGGCGAATGAAGCAGTCGCGGCAGGGCTTGCTGAATGCGCGGCTTCCGTTCCAAGGCTTCGTGATAGAAGCCAAAGATGAGCACGAGATAAGGCGTGGTATCGGGGGAGCGGAACGATCATTCGAAATAAACTCGCACCTAATAGTTGTTCGTTTGCTATAAGAGCTCTGGGTGAGCGCGTGCAAGTAGGATTTCTGTTGTCGATGGGAAACCTTCAGGCGCGTCGTGGGAGAACGAGGACCTTTCAAGCTTGCAGGTCCGGGATCGAGGTGGAAGCCCCACACGGCCACACCGTCGCTACCCACCCGGGCTTCAGCCTTCTCAATAGCACCACACGACACTTTCTGCGACCTGGTTTTACATGGCGTTGGTGGAGCAGGCCAGATGACAGTGTGATCGCATCGAACAAGCGGCCGACTGACCCATATGATATGCACTCCGCAAGAACATAAGCAGAGTCACCAGAGTACTCTGCTCTCCGGTTCGATCCCCAGCGTGGAAGCCGAGACGGCTAAGATGACAACCTTGGTGGGTTCTGATTTTGTGTTCGCATTGTGCCGTGCGATGGACACTAGATGTAAAACTCGAGTGTCATCGGCATCAGGCCTCCCAACTCCTACTGCCACGCGTAGTGCTCGTTGTTCAGCCACAAGGGCCTCTCGTCACTGACACCACCATCTGCATCGTACCAAATAAGGCTAGCAATACTGTCGTTCTTCCGTTCTACAACCTCGAAATCAAGCCCACTTTGAGCAAGTATGTCTAGAACCAAGGGTGTAGGATCCCAGAGCTTGACGACATCGAGTTTCCATTCTTTGGCTTCGGCCTGGGCTGCCTGCAAAACCGCCCGAAGGTATACTGCCTGCTGCTCGTACATGGTAGGCTCAGGCAGTTTCGCTGCATCGGAAGATAGCCTTGTCGCAGTCTCATCGACCTCGACCACTAGCCGAAGTATGTATAGCACGTTGCGTGACGTGCTTGCGTCAGGATGACTGTAGTATCGATGCGTCCAAACTGCCCAGACTTGGCTGCCGGGCGGGCCAGCTATCGCTCCTTTCGCATTAGGTATCCGGTCAAAGAGGTGTTTCGTCGCAAACACCTCTTTGGATATGTGCCAGAGCATATGGTCAAGATCTGGGATGATCGTAAAACGAGTTTTCGCCTCTTGCGTAGGTATTGCCATGCGAGACCGAGCCAAGTCTTCATCCCGCTTGCACAAATCTCCTATCTCTTCCTCGATAACTGATGTAGCCGGCGAAGGCCACGCGATGGCGCAGGGTTGCAGCTCGATGTGCGAATTGGTGGAGGTTGGGAGCCAGCCTAGTTTCGCATAGAATTCTTTCCCAATGTCGGAGTACAGCGTGCTTCCTACACATGGATATCCTTCTGCTTGCCACGTATGCATGGTCTTCGCCAATTCACGCATCATGTGCGCCGCATACCCTCGGCCGCGGTACTCGCTCGGGGAGAAGACGCTGGCCACGCCATGCACAATGTTCTCGCTGATAGCGCCGCTCATATCGCTCGTGAGTGAGCGTTTGGAGAAACTCTCGCAAGAGCATAGTATCTGACGCTCGCCTGGAGCTTTATCCTGGTGAACCAAGATCCATGTTGTCATGCCTCCATCGCGGGCTAAAGGGACCGTGGCGAGCCATTGACCTTCTTTCAAGTATTGTGCGAGTGAAAGCGAGTCTTTCCACTCGATGGAGGTATTGATCGAGATCGTCGTGCACTCTTCTTCGGTAGGGTGCCGAAGGACGAGGTGGGGGCTATTGGAAGGCGGCAGGTCTTCTCTCGAGAGGTCGGCCATGGTAGTGGCTCGTTCGTGCGCGGTGTGAAATATGCAGTCAGGTAGCTTAGTATGGTATACTGGACATGCGCTTGCGATGCAGGCGGGATGCCTTGAGTGAAGGGGTTCCAGCTACGCCCATGTCCAAGGCCATACTTATGGCTGAGAGCGACAGACCCCGGGATGGCCGAATGATTGAATCGGCTCAAGTCAAGTGTTCCATTCCGAAGCAGCACCTAGTTTCGCAGCATGGAGCGTGACTGTAACATTGGGTGTGCGTATGGAGCTCGTCTCGAGAGCGGACCTCGGGGGGTGTTGAGACGCGTGATTGACGCGCTAAGTAAGCACGTGATCATCGTCACTTCCAGGGTCTTGCACGTGTCTCCTGTCGCGTGCGGCACGGCCACCCACGAGTGCGATCTTCTTCTCAACGACACACTCCCTTCCTAAGCACCACAGCATGCATTTAACATACGCGTTGCCTGTATAGTACTCAGACAGCATTGCTCACGTCAAGACGCCATTACCTAGCACCTTTGTATAGGAAGCACACATCGGCGCGCAAGACTGCGCAACGACAACGTTCGCAGCGACAGAGGTCTTGGGACGATTAGACGCATTAGAGACATGTCCCGCATCATGCATGCTAACGTGTAGCATCTAGTCAACCCTGCCGTCCTCTTCACTTGCGAGTCGGTCCCTCTTATACCTGCACCCCCAACCCACGACCGCAGTATACCCAGTTCAAGGGCTCCTCAACGCAATAGCACGCCACCAGTTACCCACACCAGCAAAACAACCCGGCGCGAGCCAGTACAATATCCTAGACCTTTGCTCTCGTCCACGACCCTTCGTTCTATCGATCTCAGCCTGTTGCAGCGCGGTTAAATACACTTCAAGTGCCCCAACTTGCACATACGACCATAGGATCTTGACCCCAGCGCTTCCCGTTCGCTCAGCGGTACTTAAGCAAGATACCGGCCCGCTAGTAGCTTCGTGGGTGACCAGAAGCGAATCCCGGCTGTTGTATGTTTTTGCCAGCGCCATCTTCTTTTTTGCCCATTTTTTCGTACCCGACACGTTATCGATCCAACGATCGCAGAGTGCGATAGCAGCGATCAAAAGTGTACAAGCCTCTATCACATTGCCAATCGCGCATGCCCAAGATGTATCAGGCAGAAGATGTGAAGACTCTTTTTGATACCGCGATCCACAACCACGAACTAGAGCTATTCGAGCAGGTCAGGATCAACGCCCAAGGCAACGCGAAGAGACGCGACGATGAACGAGTCGTAGCCATTGCGATAAAGAAGAACTCGATACCAGCTCTTCGCTATCTTATCAAACACGGCGTCAGCATCAAGCACATCGACATCTCTGGTAAAGAGGTTGAAATTGCAACTCTGGAAGTCTTGCTTGCTCATGGCTGGGACATCAACTGGGCAGGAGAACCTCGATCTTGGCATCATCCGTTCGTGTGGTCTTGTATCCATGACCGCGAAAAGCTCGTATGGTGCTTAAAGCATGGCGCAAAACTTACTACGCCTGGAGAACTACTGTACAAGAGGCCTATACTGCAAAAGGTCGCGGAGACGGGCGACATCGCAACGTTTGAGTTTTTGCGTGCCAAAAGAGCTCCCTTGGGACCCTGTACACTTCATAGGGCGGTTCTCATGGCAGCGTTGGGTCATGATGGGTCGGATGACCCCGAAAAAGACGAGGAATGGCAACGGCGGAGCAGGGCGCGTTACGTCCAACGTATGGCAATGGTGCGCCATCTAGTTGATACCGTGGGCTTGGATGTGAACAAGCTGGACTTTCCGCGCGATACGAAATGGTTGCAAGGAGAAATGGGGACGCCACTAGAATACATCGTTGGCGTTGGCAGACCAGACACAGATGCACGCGAGCTGACATGGTTTCTACTCGACCGAGGCGCGGATCCGGATGCTGCACTCGCTGAAGCGAGAAAATATGACCATCCAACCTTTATAGAGTGGGTGGAGGGTTGGGAGGCACAAGGAGGTCGTGAGGAGTTGGAGCGATTCAAGGAGAAGAAGAGAAACCAGCACCGGTGCTCTGTTCAATGAGTGTTGTAATCCAGGTAATACCATGAACCGATCTTTGATCGCATCGATTAGCTGCGCATCTACTCTCATCCAGAATACCTTACTATCTTAAAATGAACAAATGCAAGCTGATCTCGCACCAAACATCTATCTCAGTGGCTCGGCTCGACGAAGCGTACGCGCCGTCACCGGCCTGCTGGCCCTAATTCTCTGCACCCTGTTACGCCATCGCACTGCAGTCAGTGCAATGATACTGGCAGCTTTCAACTCCCGAGCCTTCTCTATCTTGATGAAATCAATTTCTGCCTGTTGCACGTTGTACTCTTTGCGTATCCTGTCTACCCAGTCCTTGCGAGGTACGGGCTGCTTGTCCACAATCATCATGTCTGCCGGTGTAGTGCGCCACGCCTCCCAGTCAAAGGGCGGTAATAACAGCATCTTGTGATTCTTGTTACAAATGAGAGGGTGCAGGTCGTCGTCCAGAAGTTTCTTGTAACATCCCTGGCATAGCTGGACGTCGAGACAGTGCTTGCACACCCAGCAGTCGGCTATCATGTCTGTCCATTCCGTCCCGCAGCCTCCGTCGCAACTATTTCCTGTGAGGTACGCCTTCGTCGCAGTCGTAGTTGATGGAGATTCTGCTGGACCGTCTTCCAAGTTCTTGTCAGAAGTCACCGGCACACCGTCCGTGTTGGATAGCTCAGATATTGGCTGCGGAAGCTCTCCAGCACCTGGCCCGTTTGCTTTCGCATTCGTCGTGCTCGACGGTTGGTAGGGTCCGATCGCCTGCCACGCTGCAACGGCATCAGCATCTTTATCGAGGACAGTCAAAGTCTGAGCGAGGTTTGAGAACCTTATGGCGAGTGACGCATCGTCAGTAGCCTCAGGCCACTTGTCAAAGACACTGTAAAGCCGAGCCTGCGCCTGCGCGGAGGCTGATGTATGGTTCTGTTTGACGCAATATAATCGAGCCAAACAGAGACGAGGGTCGAAACAACCTTGACGTAGGTAACAGATTATCTTCGTATTTTGATTGACGAGATTCTCCAATCGGATCGTGAAATCTTCGGAACAGCTCGAAGGAGCTTCTTCGAGTTTCGCAACTGCCACGTCAAGAAGAGCCAGAGCTAGCTTGCGAGCCGCATTCCCTGCTGTCACATACGACGCTGGGTTGTCATCAGATCGTAGGACAATGTCTTCCCAGAATTGTATACTCCGGAGGTGATCGTTGTTGGACCCGCTTCCATGGAATATGAGGTCGGCTTGGAAGTACTGCAGTTGTGTGGTTGCTTCGGCAGAAAGGTCCATCCCTGGCTCGCCATCGACAGCAGGTTTATCCAGCGGGTTGTAATCGATGGCCTGCTGGTACAGAGAGATGATCTCTTCTGCGGCACCAACTTGCTTTGCAGCCACAATGATGTATCTATGAAGGGCATGTTCGCGTGATGCTTTTCGCAGCCAGTAGGTCGGTCCACGACCCTTGGATGTCGCATCTTTCCAGCCGCGAATGAGATCAATGATAGATTGAAAGCTCTTCGTTTTGCTCCAGGTTTCAAAGAGCCCCAAAAGTGCGTGTAAGTGGAGCCTGCTCCCAGCGGATGCTTCACTAACATCCTGGCTCAAAAGTTCCTGGTAAGATTGCACGGCCATGTCGTAGTCATCGCACTCCCGATAGCAGTCTCCTTCCCTCTTGAGCGTATCCCAGTAGGCCTCCTTGTACGAATTGTTCGTCTCAAGGAACATCTTGCTGAGCGATTTGAAGTTCTGTATGTATCCAAGTGCCATGCGGTAGTCCTTTTGGTTCTCATGGGCCCTTGCTAGATTGAAAAACAGTCCCCAATTCGTCGGAGAGTGTTGCTCCGCCTTTTCCAACGCAACAATGGCCTCCTTGTAGTGCTGGAAGACGATGTATGTAGCTCCCACGCGGTAATCCCAGGTGGAGCTATCGATGTCGACATTCTTGTGATCTTTTACCCAGCAGATGTACTCCTCAACGTCGGCATTTGAAGGCGGATTCCATTCTTCAAAAGGTCCGTCCGGTTTGAATATCTGGTTTTTGTCATCAGCCAAGCTTTACCATAGTTCAGAGACACTTGCCTTAGCTACAATTCCCCATGAGATCCAAAGATAATCTTCGTTTGACGTTCCAATTGAGCGGCTAAACCAATGTGTGGCTAGCCGCGCTGCGATGCGCTCGAGAACGGAGTAGTTGCTCGCTGCGTCTGAAGTTACAGACTTGACCCACTCACTCTTCTGCTCATCTTTCGAATAGCCTTTGGCCACTTGCGAATGTTGCAACAGCGTCACCAAGGGGTCGATGAACTCGTCCTTATAGAGGAAATCGTACTTCATCGAGACCAAATTCTTGTTGGTGAACCATGTATCGATCATGTTGGAATCGTAAAGCAAGTCGATCAGCTTGCTTCCAATACTGGTCATGAACTCCCTTCTCGGCTCGAATTCATCGAGCACCTTGACTAGGGTATTGACGTATTCATAGAACCACATCGAAGCATACTCGCGCATTGCTTCGAGATTCTTGTCTTTCCGACCGTCGAGCAAAACATTGACGCACATGTCAATGATGGTGACATTCACGGCATTCTCGTCGTCGAGGTGAATGTGTACCTTTTTTGCCATGGCTTCAAAGAATTCATCAAACCCGAACCTGTCGTAATCCACTGTAGCACAGACATTCTTGATGAACCGGCGACAAAGACCGACTTCGCCTTCACTGATTGTTTCGCCACGTAACTGGAAGAGTGCAGATTCGGCTCCTGAGGAAGCGCTCGTCGATAAGATCTCCCTGAGCCCGTCCTTAAATCTCACTCTATTCTCCTCGTCAATCATGAGCACAGGGGAGTAGGTAGTGGTGATCTGATCGGCGAGGAGAAAATCCTCGCCAATGGTAAAGAAGAGAATGCTCTTGAGCAGCTCGATCGATGGTGGGTAGATGCACCCTGCAACCCACACCAGAAGCTCATTGAGTACCCGAGCCTGACGTGAAGTCAGAAGATCGTCTAGAGTCTTGATCCTGTTTCTTTGGACGGCGTTCATGTCAGCGCCCGTGTTATTGATAACTTCCTGGACATTTCCTTTCGTGTCGCAAGCTTTGATCTCCGTGATCTTGGCCTCCAGGTTCCTGTAATTTCCGCGGATGCCTTCGAGCAGAAGCTCGATGTTCGAGTCATCAAGAACAGCCTTCAGGCCGGGTTTATTCTTGCAAACCTCCTCAATCCTAGCTCTTGTGACAGCTCTCAAATCGCTCGCGTTTGGCAGCAAGTCTGAAGCTATGTCTGTGTCGCTGCCTGCACGTCTCATGGATTCTTCAGGGCCTCCACGTTTCCCAAGAAGGATAACGTCGACACCTTTGCTTGCTGGTGAGACGTCAGATAGCGCATCCTCGTTTCCTGATATGAAGAGACGTAGAGAAACCCCATTTGACTTGGCTGAAGAGGAAGCCTGACCTGCGATAGCGGATATCATCATCTCTGCAGTGTCCAGTTGACCACGGCTATCGAAGCCGTCCATGCATATGAAGTACGTCCCTTTCATGACACGCTGCAATCCCCAAACCAGTTTGTTCCATCGATCTTCAGCTCGCGCAACGCTTGCGAGCTGCGCGCATTCCGCTACTACGGTTTGAGCATATGCAACATCCGCAAATGCAAACTGATAGATGATGGATCCAATGCATCGTTCGAGGGAGTCGTCCTTGTCATCTCCGTAGTAATAGTACGCGAGAAAAGCCTGGTCGGGACCACGTGCAGCCCGGCGGTTCTTTTCGAGATGCGAAACGACATGATTGAAGAGATGTGTCTTGCCGAAGCCGGAGTCAGCCTTCAGGAAGAGAACGGTTTTGTCATGCCTGCCTAGATCAGCCCACTGCACGAATGCGGGTTGTTCTTGACTGAGCCATTCTCCCGTCCCCGGTACATGCGTCTTGCAGAGCTCGCTATGTCGCTTGTTCCAAGTCTCCCACTCTCCAGGCTTCTTCAAACCCAGATACTTTGCGATCTTTTCCAGATTCTTTTCTTGCTGATCCTGGCTAGCCCGACCATCCAAAGTCGTCTTCATCTGCTGAGTAACGGTTAGGATCTGATCGCTGACTTTGTACACCGTCTGAAAATGGTCGTTTATCTCATCATGATAGCGAGCTCTCTCCTCATCCGATGCGACAAGGTGCTTTGCAAGCCCTTTGACGTCAAACAGTATATCATCGACCTCGGCTTTAGTGAACTCCTGGATTTGATCCTCCATCAGTTTGAGCGATTCTGCCATATCGTCGGAGTTGAAAAGAACGATTCCAGCCCATCTGTTCCACCGCTCTTTCTTGCTGGTAGCTAGCTTGTATGAAGAACGAAGCACGCTCAAGAACTGAGAGAGAATGTTGTATGCTGGCCTTCGCAGAACACGTGGTAGGTGGGACCCACCTTCGCCGACCTTCTGCTCCATGAAATTCACCAGGCGACGAATAAAAGCCGATGAGCGTTCCATCAGAATGACGAACCCGTCCATCATACCGCTAATGCTCCGAGCTGCTTGAACGACGAAACTGATAGCATTCCAGCATTGCGCAGCGGGCCCGAAGACCACACCCGCCACTTGTGCGACCATGCAACCAAACTGTTCAAGACAATTCCCGATATTGTTCAAAACGATTCTGGCGTTTTGATGGCTTTTCGTCGAAGACTCTCTTATATCGGCGTCAATCTGTAGCTGGAAGCTGTTGAAGGTCGTGTTTGCATCCAGCTTCCTTTTGGTGGTATCCTCATACTGTCGCACAACTTGTGGCCAAACTTCGCTGAGATCTTCATCTTCATCGAAGACCGGATCTGGAGGGGCCGGCTCGTCTTTCTTGTGCCCGAATTTCATGTTGTAGTATACACAAAATCGGTCGGAAGTCTCAGAATGTTGACGCTAAGTCCTTAGGAGGTGCATCGCAAGGGTTGAGCAGGGCATCCGCCAGTTTTATCGTCGCATAGGCGCTCTCACGGCTGTTACTACCGCGCATATCCTGAGAGCAGGATTACCATGCCGGCCCCAAAAACTCAGCCGTGCCCTGTCACACCTCGTGTGCTTGATTGGCTTGTAAGAGCCATTTTCTCATCCCGATCCATGTATGTTGACCGGTCCGGACAGCTTTGCTCTGCTCGTGATACTACTGGACACGCGCAGCTGCATGATATAGGGTGTTGCATGACTACAGCATTGTGGCTGCTGGTGTTGCCTCCGCGGTTTTTGCAGCTGAATGGCGTCCCATCGCACGGTGTGTCAAGATCGAAGGGTGCACGTAGGATCCAGGGCATCGCAGGTATCGAGCGCGAGATGGAGTTGCGGTGGATATACAATGAGATGCGATGCTAGAATGCTATAAGGATCAGTGGGCGCGACTTTACTCCAGAGGCGCGCAATAGGTAGCGTGAGCCGAGGCGCGCCCGCGGGCGATTGCTGACTCAGCTCTGGCCCCACCCATCACTCCTTAGACCAATTCCTCACCACTGTCAGGCACTTCAACATTGAAACCCTCTCAATGTGCTTACCTTTATGCCGCATATGGTGTCATGCCGCGCAAGACTATCTAATGACACCACTGTGTGTTCATCCTGCCTACCAATCAAGTTCTCTTTCGTTGACACGGGGTCCTCTTGGACAACGCGCTGCGTTGTCATCTAACGCGTCAAGCTCGTCTACCTCACTTTCATGCTGGACTGTTCCTGTTGCAATGAGCGCGCAAGGCTGTGCTACCTTCACTGAATGGCACGCGGCGTAGCGGGGTGCTCACCAGATGTCCAGCTTGGTAACGTAACTGATTTCATTGTATCTGTCGTTCATTTTGTCTCGTCTTCATACCTAACCTAATCCTGCAATCCAGTCAAGCGTGATGATGGTGAGCACTCGTCTGTGTTGGCGATGGAATTGTTGTGAGTGCCATGGTGACAACAGTGTGGATAGTGACATCGGGTGTGCATACTGCAAATGTCGTTGAGGATGCCACGATTGCAGGGTCTGCGATAACAACTGTAGGGCAAGAAATACTACCTAGGTACCGGATGCTTCATGCCGATGGCAGCACAGTTACTATCAACAGTTCCGAGGTCGTCGTCCGCATGGCTGATCAGGTCGTGCCTTCCTCGTCGTAGGCCTACCCCACCCACAAGCTTCCTCTCAACGCCCAGCACACAATCGCAACTGTCTCTCCTCTTTCACTCCTTTGCGCAAGGATACCGCCTGTTTGACCGACCTGCCTCTGGGCCCAGACCGTTCGCTGAACTCCTCCTTCACCTCCAGTATACCCAACTCACTCGTGCGGTTTCGAATCACTTTTCGCCATGGATACCTGTTCTTCTATATTGTTGCCTTATGGCCTTAGCAGTCAGTATCAAGACATATTGAGAGGGAGGAAAGATACGTCGGTGCGATGTGGACTGCCGCAATACCGCACTGCAACGCTGCTAGAAATTTCGAGGCTGAATCCGTTTGATCCGCACCAGTCTCTACCCTCCCTCGGTCGTACACCCAACCCCCGTCAAACCATTCGACAGCGCAAGCCTGAATATTCTAGTCAGAAGGAGGATAATATGGGGTTCCAGCGCAACATTAAGAAAATCAACATGGGCCCGGCAACAGGCAAAGAAAAACGCGGTCGGGCGAAGCGAAAACCTCAAATTTCGGTGCGCAAGCTCCCCAAAGCTGGCTCCAAGTTTAGTCCCGGCTTCCGAGTGGGCGCATCGCAGGACTTGCCAATCACGCTCGATAGCGACGATGACGCGCCGACAAGCACTCCCCAGCGGTAATTCAAGACAAACAGCTCTCAAAATACGCCTGTTCAACGCTAACATCAGTAGTCTTGACCCTCGTCGAACACATGTCTCACTCGCCGAGCCCAACCTACGAGGTTTCCGCTACGATGGCACGAGCGAGAGCACGCGCGCGTTACCGAATACGTCGCATGCACCCATAGGCTTCGTCCTACGACGCTCCTCAACAACATCTATCGGGCCCGCAAAGGATCAATTGCATGCTGTACCCCAAGAAACACTACTACGAGATTCTGATGGCGATGAAGAAGCGGCACCGATCCGTAAGCCTGCCAAACGGACCCGCCAACCTCACGCGCTCAATGGATGCCGGAAAGAGAGAAAGCCTGGGACTATCAACATGAGTCTTATGGATATCGACGACTTCGGTCTGAGAAGTAAGGTCGCTCAGCTAATGGCTGTAGCACCCGCGTTACCCATTGTGGACCTCTATCACCTCATCATGGACAGCGAAGGCGATCTACCATTGGCGAAGAAACAAGCCATCAGGATGAGTGAAGCCCCACTGGCACAGTATCAACCAGGCCTGGATGCAGACGGTGGGGAGGTCATGGTCAAGATAGACCCAAATGATCCCGCTTTTGAGTGGGATGACGATGAACCGCAGCCGGAGTCAGCCGCTACAAACGCATCGCGACCACAATCCAAGCCGAAAATCAAAGCGACAAAGTCAAAGAGTCTACACCATCATGCAAAGCCTTCCAAAAGCGCAAAGTCAGGTGCAAAAAACTGCTCAAACACGAGCGCCAAACGAACGAAGTTCTCTTCAATGAACCCTACACACGCAAGAGAGACCAGCAGCGACCGCGAGTTCATCGTCCCCGATAATACTGTCCATTACGATCTCAATTCTGATATCTCTAATCGCTCCGAAGAGTTTCTTGGTGTTGAGGTACGCAGTAGACGTGCAGACAGCGACGTTGAGATGTTGGATGGCGAGGATCCATTAGATCTGGATATAGACATGCAGCCGCGCTTTGCATACAACGCCAGACTATTGGGGAAATGTGCTAGAAATTAAAACATGTAAAGAGTGGTTGGATCGTATTTAACGACGTGTAGATCGAGCGGTATCAATACCCGGCGTTTGGTGTATGTGGAAGAAATGACGGGTCGATTTTGGTTTGCTACATCATTCAGTCAATGCATGCACGCTTCCGCGCATCGACGTAATTTTATAGCACTGCAGCCATCTGGTAGCTACGTGATATTCAATCATACTTTGTGGGATAAGCGCCCTGTCCTGCGATTGCTCGATATGATGCCTCCCCTGTTCGCTCTTTCTTTTACCTTTCAAACGGGCGCTGAGACATTGAAGTCTTACAGGTAAGACAACGAACAACGAAAGCATCTTTAGCACAAACAACATAGATAAACGCCATGCTCTCTCACCTTTGGCAGCGCGCTCTCAGTCACGTCGGTTTTTGAAGTGAGATTGACAGTATATCATCCTTCCCATCCATCACATCTCCGTCCTCTACCCTATCATCCTTCTCACTTCAAGTTCCCGTCATGGCGGTCGACTGCCCTCGATTTTCGTATACGAAACCGAAACGTCTTCCAAAGCAACGGTGCCGCCCCTCCAATGCCGCTTTCCGGGTTGCAGCAGCGCAACTCGACCTGATCAATAGCAAAGCTGGAGGGATCCGTATACCTGCCATCGTAGATTTGAGTGATGAAGAGCCCACCCCAGAGGTAGAATACGAAATGGTGGAATATGCCGTGCAGTAAGTCGAAGGCGTGGGAATGACTAGTCACAGTGCCTAACGAATACACATAGGAAAGCACTGGCAAAAGAACGTGGTCTCCCGAGTGGCAGCACGTTCGAGCCCAAGACCCCAATATCTACAAGTAGTTCCAAGTCACCAATCTCGCAACGAAAGCGACGCTTCATCGTCGACTCGGATGACGAGGATAGCAGTAAGTTACTATGCTTCATGTTCACGCCCATTTTCTGACCTTGCCTAGCATCTTCAACGTCGTCCCCATCATCTAGCCAGAAACATCACCAGAAAGAGCGATCTATCCGTTCCGTTAGTCGCGACACAAAGCGACGAAGAGACAGCTTTCTATCTGACTCCGACGCTCCCGGCGATCAACCGGTCAGAAAGGCGAAGAAGCCGCGACAAGACTTGGCGGCCGAGCTGGACGATCTGGACATCGAGATGGAAGGATGGAGCGCGGCTGAAGAAAAGCCTAGGAGACAGCGGTGTAGAAGATAGCCGCTGAGGTACACGCCCGGGTATCGAGCGTGAGGTACGCTAACTTGCGTGCGGTCAGGAGAGACACTGCAAGATTCTCAGTCTTCACAAACGAGATACACTTGACGCAAAACCAGCACGAGAGCAGGGAATGATAAAGGCATGCAATAGTCTTCTCATCTATCCAACATCTAATTAGATAGATCTATCCCATCATTTAACAACCAAGAAACACCCATCACATCTACATTCTCATCCCAGCGCCTCCACATGTGACACAACTAACCCACCATCATCCGCACTCAATGATGGCACATCTTCACAACAATAAATCCCAGAATAAGCATACCCACAAGAATACCACCGATAATGCCGACTACAGCGATCGTCGACAAACCGCCTTCAGCTCCAGAGCTACTGGACTTCACTTTGAGGTCAAGAGTGGAAGTAGGCTCAGCAGTGATATCTGCTTTGGAGATCTCGTGGAGGATATCTGAGATACTAGACGGAGAGGCCATGGGTGTGTAGGGCGTCGTCGGGGTGACGATGGTCGCTAGCGTGGAGAGCTGGGTGACAAGCGGCATAGCGGGGATGGAGTAGGCGGATGCGGGCTCCGAGTAAAGGGCGTGAATAATGGAAGGGGCTAATGGGGCCATGGTGTTGCGTCTGTTCGTTGAGATTGGGAGATGTGTTGGAAGTCCGGCTTCGAGACTATCGTGAGATGCGATGATGTAGATGGAGCTTGGTGTTGGAAGGTAGTAAGCAGATATGGAAGGTCTTTTGTAGAACGAGTGGCGATGTGGTGTGAATGATAGTGAGACATGATGCTTTCACAATAGCTGTTTAGAGTTTTCTGGTAGAATGTCGTAAGTTGACAATGTTGCGAATTGTGATAATACTGTGGACTACTTACTGCTGGTCTTTCCGAGCCGAAGCAGATGGATGGCACGTGATCATGCTTGTCATCCTGCGACCATCTCCATGATACTCATGTGGAATCCTTCCAGATGACATTCATATGTATGCAGGGTGCCTCATTGCTCTTGGTGGTGCGCGAATGTTCGCGTTGTTCACGCTCGACCCAATGAACTGCTGCATCTGCGTCTCCACCTCTTTAGCAGCTAAGCGCTCTTGCTCTTGTTGCGCCGCCAGAAGCTTCTTGTTCTTGTACCGCGTCACCGTTTGTTGATAGAATACCCAGCATATGAACGAGAGGAAGAAAGGCGCAAAGACACACATGGGGATGAACCATGGTAAAGGAATGGGACCGATCATGCGCTGTTCGGCGTTGATGGGTTCGGCGCGGTGTGAGAACTTTAGTGCAGGCATGTTGTGCGATGAACAGGGGAAAGACTGTATGTATGTTATTTGGATCGGAAAGTTGCGATCGAAAGAATGTAGGTGAGTTGTTGAATGAGTGTGTAGGTAAAGAACGAATGCGCAGGTAAGAATGGCAGGTGGGGACGGGACCTTCACGATAGTTAAACCACAACGGCGGCACAGCCCCCGCCAAATGAAAGAAGTGAAACCAACCCAAAATAACCCCGAAAACCAACGATGTTGCCGGCGCAGAACCAATCTCACTGTATCAGGTAACGAGTCTCGGAATTAAAAAAGCAAAATTGCAGGATACCTATGCGAAACTCTAAACTCCACTAGCTGGAAACGCGTCTGACAGCTGTACCTGTTTGATCTTCAACAACCACACCACATCTTCGCTGTCAATCGCAACATCTACCTGCGATGCTCGCGATGCATTGTGGGCGAATGTAGCGGTGATACGTCGCTGTAATCTCGCATGCGGTTATAATCGTGAGGTGGGCCGTTTGCACTCAACGGCGAGACTGGCTGACCGGCTGGGTACTCCGGATTACGGGCGAGCGCCGGCAGTTCGGTCACAGGATGGGACTTTGGATGCGACCTGCGCGTTGGTATAAAGCTGGGTAATTGCAGCCGATATTCAGCATTATCACCAGTTCCATGCGTTGCGACTGACTGGAAGTTATCAGCGGATGTCCTTCGATCTACGTGATCTCGTGTCGCATACACACCTTTTTCGTCGAAGCCGTCTTGCCAATTCTGGGCGCGAGCAAGATCTACCGGATCCATACCATATCCCTCCGAAATTGGCATGTCAGCATGCTGAGTGCTTTGAGGTGATCCATCACGGCGGCGTCGTCGTCGTCGTTCATGGACGACTTCTTCATAATGTGGATAGCGACGGCGGCTGTCACCCTTTTCCGGATCATGGATCGTGGGAATTAGACCCCTACAGTACTTGATCGCTAGAAAGCATACAAAGACGGCGCCGAGGACCAGTATGATGACGCCGATGATGTGGCCTGGGTTTTTCGCGAAGCGGGGACTGTCTCGCTTGGCGAAGGCTGATAGGGGATCAGACGATGCATCTGCTATTGGCATTATGGAATCGGCCATCTCGAAGGGTGTGCCGCGATCGAAAGCGACTCCGGTGGCTTTGGGCATCAGGGTGGACACCGTGCCGTAATCGACGTAGGATGGTGACGCATCAATCGGCGGTGCTACATTTGGGTTCCAAGGATTGTTCGAGACTGCTTTTGGGAAGGAAGATGCACTGGTGTAAGCACTGGGGGTCGAGGTCGTCTTCGTACAAGCTGTGCATTGATGGCAGCCGATGCTAGAGACGGGAACGTCCGAAGAGAAATATGTGCCTCCATCGGATGCAGTGGAAGTAGACGTAGGGATAACCGACGAGTAGAAGGTACCAGGATCTACTGCTGTTGTAGTACTTGTAGCGGTAACAGTAGTCGTAGAGACGTCCGAAGAGAAGAACGCTCCTCCGTCTGAAGCAGTAGACGTCGATGCAGCGACATCCGATGAGTAGAACACACCAGAATCGACTACAGTCGAAGTGGTAACAGCAGACGAAGTCATCGTACCCGAAGTAGCAGTTGCTTGTGCAGCGTTAGGCCAAGTAAAGGCAGCCATACCGCCGTCTTGTGACATATTGAAATTGAAACAGAAACAGATAATGCGGGTGGTGTTATTTGTTTCGTCTGGTCGCCTTTTAGCTAGTAGTTGGGATGAACGGGACCTGGGAAGATTGCGGGAGATCACTTGTAAACAGTAGCTCTAATCGCGGTGTCCGCACAGATTCAGCACCATATGGTGACTATCACGGAACATAAGGCCTGTGAGCTCACAGTGCCAAGTTCGATGACGCTGAGCGCTAGTCACATCAACGGCGACATTCTAAAAGGTAAACTCCAACACATTGTAGGCTTTCGAATGCATGAGATCGTGAAGGTTCAGCAAACCTGGCGCACAATGCCCGACGAAGCAGAGTCTAGAGTCTGTTCCTCTCCTACTCCAAGTATCAGCACACTGCTAAAAAAGCACACGAACATAGTAGCAACCTTCTCATACCTCAGCGCAGATCAACTTCAGACATGGCGTCTCCTTACACTGTTCCTTACTCCAGCGGCCTCACCGTTGCGGCTACTAACACCACCGATGGTTCGCCACTACAAAACAACATCACCTCCATTTATCCCAGGCCTCTACACCCACCAAACACTTCAAGCGCAGAATACCGTATCTGGCTCGGCTTCTTCATCTTCGGCGCCGTTTCCGCTGCGATCATGGTCATAATGATGCTCTGGCTGTGTGCGCTATCATCTGGTGTCGGTCGTTTGGTTCGTAGAAAGAGCGAAGAGAAAGATGAGCAGAAAAGCTTAGCAAGTGAATATGAGATGCATGAGAGGGTTCGGGAGCCGGAACGTGTTTTCCGGAGGGGTAGATAAGATGGAGGTAGAGAAATGAGGAATGAAGCAGAACAATTCCATCATGTGGTCATGCTGCTGAGATCGAGTTTAGAATATTGGAGTGCATGGTGTAATTCATGGACGATTGTTTTGCTGTGCCGTGACATGTGACAAGCACTCGGTTCGAGACATTCCGTTGCGCCGAGTGATATCGATCTGAGGATCGAGTGAATGTCGCCTCTTCCCAAGTGAAGGTCAGTCATGAGGTTTTCAGATATATCACCAGTCATTAGTTTAGCGTTAACCGAGGGTGCATGAGAATGCAGGGCAGTTGCGGGTGGGATGGCATGACGGAGGCGGAATGGACCGGTTTGGCGCACGAAGACATCCCGCGGCCGGTGGAGCTTTCTTTTTCTGTATCCGAGCTTTGCGCAACCCTCCCGCCGCGACCACCCACCTCGACGACCTGCTACCACCACCGTGTAGCTCCAATTGGGTCGTGACAACATTGAAATACCCTCAACATGTTGGCTGCTCGCTCCTTCGCCGCCCCTGCGCGGCAATGCATGCGCCAGGCTACCCGCGCACGATGGGCGCCCGCGCTGTCCCAGGTGAGCTTCCCGCGGGACACTCGATTCTTGCGCCTCAAGAAGATGTTCGCAGAGGAAGATAAAAAATAGCCTGGAACTCTACTAACACAAATAGATCTCCGCCCGCACATACGCCTCGGAGGTCGCCAAGTTCCACGGAAAGAAGGGCAGCGACGGCAAGTACTCCGTCACTCTAATCGAGGGTGATGGTATCGGCCCCGAGATTGCGCAGTCCGTCAAGGACATCTACTCGGCCGCCAACGTCCCAATCAAGTGGGAGTCGGTCGACGTCACCCCGCGCCTGAACGAGGACGGCAAGACGGTCATCCCCGACGAGTCCATCGCCAGCGTCAAGAAGAACTTGGTCGCTCTCAAGGGTCCCCTCGCGACGCCCATCGGCAAGGGCCACGTCTCGCTCAACCTTACTCTCCGCCGTACCTTCAACCTCTTCGCCAACGTCCGCCCCTGCAGATCCATCGCCGGCTACAAGACGCCCTACGACGACGTCGACACTGTCCTGATCCGCGAGAACACCGAGGGAGAATACTCTGGCATCGAGCACATTGTCGTAGATGGCGTTGTCCAGAGCATCAAGCTCATCACCCGCGAGGCCTCTGAGCGCGTCCTGCGATACGCCTTCCAGCACGCCCGCGACATTGGCAGGAAGAAGGTCCGCGCTGTGCACAAG